AATAAATAATATAATTATATAAATTATTTAATAAAAAACATTTCAATAATAATTTGGCGGAAGGCGCGCTCCCAGTATATTTCTGGTATAGGAGCGCCCCTGAGGCAGAGCGTCACGTGACCGCCCGGCGGCTCGGGCTGTGCGGTGGGGGTCGCGCGCCGGAATCGGCCCGAAATGTGCTAATCCTTGCGACTACATAATTTTAAAAGAAAAAAGAACAAAATATCTGATCTAATGAAAAGAAAGTTTAATTTTTTAATATAGCGAAAAATATGTATATTTATTAAGCTAAATTTTCTTTTCTTTTCGGTATCATCAGTAAATGTACCTGCATTTCTTTTTCATTAAAATTTTTTTCATTTAATTGAAATCAAATTTACGTTAAAATTCAAGTTTGATCTTAATTAATAAATAATGCACTCAAATTATCTCATCCAATTTTTTAAATATTTTTACATCATATAAAGTCTGTTTTAGATGCACTTATCATTATTTCCCAGCATATAAAACCAGAAGTAGCGCAGTGTTTCCAAGTAAAAATACACAAATTTAAAATAATATCTAAATAAGCGAGACTTTATGGAATAAAGGCAGTAAGAAAGTAATGATAAAAGACAGTTCCGTATTTCTCATGTAGAATACCTAGCGGATTTAAGATATCATCTTTTGAAAGGAATTTATAGGTCAATTTACAATGTTTTAAAAATAAAGTACCATTTGTTGCTACTTTACAATAAAGATTATTTATCATTATATATAATTTTTATTTATATACATTATATATTTACATATTTTTCTTTCTCCATTATGCATATAGACATATCAATTACATATATATTCTTTAATTAAGTAACAAAGAGTGCTCGTTTTTTAATTAAATAATATAAAAAATATAACATGTGTTATAATTTCTTTTTACAATTCTTTTTTTTTTTGGAAAGAAAAATTTGTTGAGAGAAATTTGTGAGAAATTTGCACGAACAGAAGTCGGACACGAAATACCCAGAATAGTACCGTAAGAAGGAGCAAATATTTAAATATCTTAAGATCTTTTAACTTACATAATAATTTCATATTTTTAGAGAATGAAATAGTCAACTCAAGAAACTGATTTTCAAGAAATGGAATCTGAAATGCAAGAGAAAGATCGCATTAGTCAGAATCTAGAAGAACGTATTACATTACTGCAACCTCAGATCATCACTGGCGCTAGTTGTAATACTGATAAATCTGGTACTACTATGGATTTATGTGCGTTAATTTTTTATATTATGCAAATTGAATATTTTGACAAACTGAATTATAAATTAAAGATATGTGTATTATTCTTATAGCATTCCAAACAGCCTTTGCTGATTTTAAGCTGGAACGTAGAAATAGTGAAGAAAAAATAGAGGTGCGAAACGTTCGTATACAACAGCTGAAAAAGCCGAATTGCAATGTAAAATAATAGATCTTCAAAATAAGCTAACAGAAGCAGAAGAATCGATTAATTCGTTAAAAGATAAATTGAACGAGCAGGAAAAGAAATATCAAGATCAGAAAAAGGAGATTGCACAAACAAAACTAATTATTAGTGCAAAGGACGATAAAATATATGATTTAGAGAAATCAATGTCCGAATTGCGAGAGACGTTGAATAAAGCAGAATCGTGTAGAAGTTCCATCAAAAAAGAATTAGAAGCATTTCAAGCAGAAGCGCAGAAAACGCATGAAAATTTCAGAAAAGTCCGTCACGATTTGAAATTTCAGACAAGGTATTTGATAAATAAAATGTGTAGAACCCTAAGAGATATGAAGAGGTAACCACCGATTTATCGATGGACGGAATAAAAGAACAAGAATTGCAGTTACGGAAGTCCTGATATGGAAGAAGAGATGGATTGTCCCTAGTTGAAAGATGTGTATATAATGGTTTACGAGTTCAGAGATATAAACTGGCCAGTGCTCATAAAACTCAACTGGAGGCTAGAGTCTCAAAGATATCTGAAAGAGATGACCAAGACTCCATACTATTCTGGGTATTTCGTGTCCGACTTCTGTTCCTGCAAATTTCTCACACAAATTCGACAAATTAAATAATATATACATTTTAATATTTTCCAAAAGAAGTCTAAATATTTGTTCTAGAAAGTTGGAAGTATATTCGTCAAGATTTAGAAATTTTTTTGAACTATTTTGAACTATTTTAATCCTCTCTCTCTCTCTCTCTCTCTCTCTCTCTCTCTCTCTCTCTCTTATTTAATCTTTGTTAGTTTCTACTCTAATTTCGTCTTCATTTTGTTCTTTTTCTTCAACAGGCTCATTTAAAGCCTGATAACAGTGACATTTTTTATACTTTGTAAGGATAATCACAGCCTTTCGTATTTATATTTTGGTTTGGAAACCTTCTTTTTTTTTATGTTAGCCTGTAATGAAGTTCAATTCAAATTAATTAGAAAAAAAATAATAAAGATCAATTAAACGCACTTACGTTTATTATGTTTAAATCATCGTATGTCGACGAATCCCTTTCCGGGACTCTCCGACGATTGTTGACACAATCTATAGAGTCTTGTTCATGCAAGCAGTGTCGCTGCGCTTTGGCTTAGCGCCGAGACACTACCAGTGTCTCCAGATTCTTGTTTATTTATTCCGTCCATCGATAAATCGGTGGTTACCTCTTCATATCTCTTAGGGTTCTACGCATTTTATTTATCAAATACCTTGTCTGAAATTTCAAATCGTGACGGACTTTTCTGAAATTTTCATGCATTTTCTGCGCTTCTGCTTGAAATGCTTCTAATTCTTTTTTGATAGAACTACGATTCTGCTTTATTCAACGTCTCTCGCAATTCGGACATTGATTTCTCTAAATCATGTATTTTATCGTCCTTTGCACTAATAATTAGTTTTGTTTATGCAATCTCCTTTTTCTAATCTTGATATTTCTTTTCCTGTTCGTTTAATTTATCTTTTAACGAATTAATCGGTTCTTCTGCTTCTGTTAGCTTATTTTGAAGATCTATTATTTTACATTGCAATTCAGCTTTTTCAGCTGTTTGTATACGAACGTTTCGCACCTCTATTTTTTCTTCACTATTCCTATGTTCCAGCTTAAAATCAGCAAAGGCTGTTTGGAATGCTATAAGAATAATACACATATCTTTAATTTATATTTCAGTTTGTCAAAATATTCAATTTGCATAATATAAAAAATTAACGCACACGAATCCATAGTAGTACCAGATTTATCAGTATTACAACTAGCGCCAGTGATGATCTGAGGTTGCAATAATGTAATACGTTTTTCTAGATTCTGACTAATGCGATCTTTCTTTTGCATTTCAGATTCCATTTCTTGAAAATCAGTTTCTCGAGTAGACTGTTTCATTCTCTAAAAATATGAATTTATTATATAAGTTCTTAAGATATTTAAATCTATATATAATAAAAGATCTTAAGATATTTAAATCTTACTCCTTCTTACGGTAATATTCTGGGTATTTCGTGTCCGACTTCTGTTCGTGCAAATTTCTCACAAATTCGACAAATTAAATAATATATACATTTTATTATTTTCCAAAAGAAGTCTAAACACTTGTTCTAGAAACTTGAAATTATGATCGTGAATTTTTAGAAATTTTTTTGAACTATTTTGAATAGGTCAAAAAATGGATGGATTCGAAATACCTAGACTTGTACCGATGAGGCATCGCTTTGTGCCTGGTACTGTAAGGATCAAAAGATTTTATCGTGTGATTGTGTAGAAAATTCAATCAAAAAATTTTCCATAATAACCCAAAATAAAACATTTATAATATAATATACACTTACCTCTAATTCTGTGCGCAATGAAGCCCTTTGTTCCACAATTTCTTTTAGATGTACGTCGCCAGATGTAACTTGGTTCAATTTAGGGTAATTTTTTACATTTCTAGCACTAGATGTAAACCTATTCATTAAAAAATAAAAATTCAGTTACACTACGTTAATATACATCAAATAATTTCAAAAATACTAGAGCACGAGCGTGGCATGACAGACAATGCACTGGTCTGTCATGCCAGAAATTCCGAGTTTGACCCCGGTAGAAATCAAAATATTTACGCTCGTGTCTCCTTTCGGAAAAAAAGAGTAAACTTCCAAGAGTATCCTTGCTCACAGAAACACCTCACGAAAAATTCGCCGTTCGGAACCGGCGTTAAAAATATAGGTCCCATATACTTGTGACAATTGAATAATCATCTTGCGCTCCACAAGCATATGAGAGAGGTGCTAGAGGCCTAACATAAGCAGAAGAAAAAATATTAACGTCTGTTGGGTTCCTTCTATAGCAACTGGTGTTACTGCACATATTATCACTGTCTTTGCATTGCTACCCAACGAATTTTGGAGTATTCTGGTTAAATTACTGTTTCGAAAATGTACATTTTCTTGTGATTCTCTCAATTGTTTTATTACTAAGGCCAATGTTGAAAGTGATAAGTTAATAAGATATCCTTTCTTGAGACATTTTCTAGCAGCACCTGTCGGACTAGCTCTTTCTGAGCTAGCTAAATCGACCATATTTAATTGGAAGACTAGTGCCACACCATCTGAACCTGCACCAGCCTCATGACTTTCAATCGTCTGCAATAATGTCATTGTGTTGTAACTTTCAAATTTATGGAAATATATGGATTATTATGTCTAGGTATAGGCTGCATCCAGTTATCCATTACAAGTATTAAAAATCTGTAATGTACATAGCGTAAGCTAAATTTGTTTTTGCATTGCAATGAATAACAAAAGTTTGCAGCATAGTAATTTATATATGTTATATACAGATTACTTTATCTAGTAATAATAATATAATAATTTTCTTTTTTAAAATACCTCACATATAGTATTAATGAAAATGTACTTACAATTCTAAATATCATACGGCTTCTGCAACTTCGCTCATTTATGTTTGTTGCGCCTATTCTTCTGTTTTTATTACCTTTATTCGTTAATGCTAAAATATTCCCTAGATGAATTACAGATACGTTCTTACAATTTACGAATACTTGACCTTCTGTATCTTCGTGTACTTTCAAATCTGTTGAATTTTTGTCTTGGTTTTTGTTTAAGAGATTATAAATTTTTTCATTATAAATCTCTAGGTATGATACTCTGAAATATTAATATTTTTGCAGGATGGAACAAGTGATCCTTTAATTTTGTTGAGTAGTATATTTACCTTAATGAAAACTCCCTTCCTGGAATATCGGTTATGGCGGAAAATATGTGCTTGGCAGCCAGAGTTATTATGCCAGGTTCTTCCAAAGTACTCATGATACAAGTTTTACCAGAACTTATCTGTCCATAAGCGAACACTGTGCCATTAAATCCATTTACAGCAGCATCAACAATAAGCTTTACAACATCAAATATATCGTTGTTGTTGGCGTCTGTATCAAAAACATGATCTGTAAATGTAATATCATGTAAACATAATTTGTAAATTTTACATCAAGGTCAAAGGATAAAAGATAGCCGGTAAAAATTATAACTTCACATGACAATGATACAAATTAACATTGAATGATGCTTCTTTGAGTAATTATTTAGAATAGCAAACCCCATCTAAAATCTTAATGAAAAGACACTCATCCGACGCGTTTTCACTCAAAATAAAAAATCTGGCAAAAAAATGCGGCGGTCGGCCTCGTGAACAGAGATATTAAGCGTTAAAGTTTGAGATTTTAGAAATTAAGATATCCGTCATTCCGACTCGCTGCAGCGCTACGTATACGTAAGTTCTGTTCTTTTTTGAAGAATTTTGAAATAGTGCAATAAGTTAGAGTGAGACAGAAACTAATTTCATATAACATATTGACTTACTAAACTCGAATCTACCGTCAGATCGCTTTCTGAATTCAGGAACGGTAGCTACTACAGTATTATTTTCTTCAGTGACCCATTGTAAGGACAAATTCTCCTCTTTTTCTCCCTTGATAAGAGACCTGACTCGGATTGCTACTTTTATGTTGTTCGTCATTGTGAACGTATTTTTCACTTCTCAAATATTTCGAAGAAGCAAATCTCGTATTTATTGTATAATCAGAATATCGGAAAACTCACTCACGAGAATCACGAACATTCGTCGTGTCGCGACGAAAGTCGACGGAAGATAGAACGATGTTGTGTCGAGTGTGTCCTCTAAAAGGGAAACATACTAAACGAGTAAACGCTCGTTGCGCCGTTCAAATTCAAATCACAATTCATCACGCATGCGTTAACCGTCAAGGCCTAGACTGCGTTCCGTTCTGTTCACGCATGTTACTTTATTTATCCTTGTTATTCACCGAATGTTAAACAAGGATAAATGATGCATTATGCGTATCATGCGTGAAACGGAACACAGTCTTAAACACAATGCGAAGGCAACAGCGATAGCGAAAGACAGAAATGTTTGAAATCAATCATAGTTTCGTGAATCTAAAAAATGTTATTATATTATATAAAACATGCAGAAATTATGTTAGTAATAGTATTGTATCATTTTTCATGTTGCAGCTATATAATCATTATAATTAAGAGATACTAATATATATTGACAGAAATTATGTAGATTTCATTATATTTCAATTACTATAATGATTAATGCAAATAGGCTCATATACAGGGTGTCCTGAACTTTTTTGTCAATTACTTTTGTGTAGATAGAGCGGACTAAACTGAGTCGATAAGTCCTCTACCGTTTTGCAATTTTCAGCAGTAGTTAACAAGATATTAATTACTAATATTACGTCCAACGGACTCACGCTGCCTCTTTTCTTTTTCTTACGGAGACCTAGGGGTTATCAACCTCTAAGACTTCTAAGAAAAATAATAAAAATCTTTCCCACGAGAAAGTTCTCATACAGCATAGAAAGATTGCAGAAACATTGCAGAATGATTTCATTGAAACATTGCAATATTGCATGGTGGTTGCGAAACATTGCTGAATCACTAGGTGCATCCAGAAGCACGACCGCTCATTGAGCGCTCATTGAGCTCTTGTATCTGTTTGGTCTATATTTTTCGATCTAATGGAATATGCCAATCAGATGCAAGAGCTCACCGAGCGCTCAGTGAGCGGTCGTGCTTCTGGATGCATCCATTGCTGCAAGATTCCAACAATGTTAAGATGTCCGCTTTTTGTTATATTGCAACGAAACGTTCCAGCAATATTGTAATGTAATTATGTATTTGGATAAATTTTTACGAAGACTCTGAAATGAAAACTATTTTCTGTACACTGTATCTTACTAATTTTAATTTTATATAGTAATGTTATGTCCAAGCTCCGATAATGTGGGTGAATAGGTTTAGAGAAAGAAAAGGATAAGAAGGGAGAAGCATGGAAAGACGTTAGAGCAGACGCTATGTCTCGCATGCATCCGCGGGAAAGGGATGGAGCGAGTCGAACGCACCTTTTATTGCTCTGGAATATGGGTCGACGTCCTGAAGGGACGATATGACGCTTGTTTCCGATGAGCAGTGCGATCGTCGGTCCGACTTTAGAGTCAAGGAACTTAATCCTTATAACTCGGGACCGGACCATATACGATCTTTGACGCGAGGTGGGAGTAAGTAAGAGGTCTTATAATCCTAGAATAAATGTAGATTGAGGACTATCATGTTCAACATATTCTACTTTTATTGTTAATATTAAATTTTAAGTACAGTATGACTATTGGTACTTAAAATTGTAATTATACTCTACAATTTAAATCATAATATTACTTAAAACAATTGTTGTTATAATAACTAACCGCGCGCGTGTGTGTGTTTAAAATTGTATTCATCTTATCTCTCTAATTATACATGAGGCGGGAGGAAAGAAATTTAGGAAGAAGGCTACGGGGACTAAGAAAGGATGGGAGGAGTGAGGAAGGTAAACTGGGATAAGGACTTCGAGTGGTTGGCCATTTATTGCATTCCGGATGCTATCAGGATCTGCATCTATGAAATTGATAGTGAATGTATTCGGAGGAAAGGGTTCGGTGGATATTTGGAATCGGGAAAAAAGAGAGGCTAGTGATTGAGGATTTCCGTGATGGAAATAGTAACGAGGACGAGGAGGAGGAAGTTCATACAAGAGCTCCACGCTTGATGATGAGTCAGCGGGAGAAACGGGACGAGGAGACGGACTGACTGAATGGAGGAATCGGGAGTATAAGGCGGGATATCAGGAAAAATACGTTCGGTCAGAGCATCCGAAAAGGCAGGTGAAGGATTTCGAGGAGGACGGGTCGCGACGGGATAAACTATTGCAGGAGAAGGGGACTGAGGAGGAGGACTTCCGGCTGGATGATTATCTATTAAATTATCGTTATTGTAATTGTTATCTAATAAATTATTGTTATTATAATTGTTATCTAATAAATTATTGTTATCATAATTGTTATCTAATAGGTTATTGTTATTATAATTGTTATCTAATAAATTATTGTTAACATAATTGTTATCTAAATTAGCGCGAAATTCGTGGTAGGCTTCCTCCAAGAGCCGACGAGCCTCTCTTAACCGTCGGGCGCGTAGTCGTTTAGCTGCACGGGAAGGGCGTGCGCGTTGTCGATCACTCACTGCGATAATTAAATGACATGCTTTATTATCAGGCTCTGCATAACAAGAGAAAGGGAGATAAAAGAGTGAAGCTCACGTATTAAGCGGACTTCCAAATAAGGAATGTAGAGGTCATCGAAGAAACCGATGAACGTGGGGGGAGGAATAAGGATGACAGGTGAATTATGGAAGCAAACTGAGAGTGCAGAGACACTGAGAGAGGTTAATATTTCGGTAGCGAGTGATCTGGTTCATGAGGTAAATAATTAGAAGAAGAGACTTACTATTGTTCAAAAGTTTCTGGGTTTCGGAATGACTGCCGGCGATCCGATCTCTGTGCAGGTTTAGACCCAAGGGGAGGGTTGGCTCGGCGATTGGAAAATGCCTCCAGCAGGATGTGTGAAAGAGTCACTCGACACTGTTCGCGAATAAAATCGCTTGAATTGACTGATCGCGGCGATCTGGTTGTGGACCGGCAGATTTCGGCCGGCTAGGTAGGTTTCGGGTCGCGGACCGGCGATTCAACTGACTTTTGATTTTTTAAAATCGGACTGGCAGAGGTTCCCCTAGACAGGTAGTTTAAGAAACTGTCGTTCTGTTTGCGAAGGCTCTCCTTTTATATTTGCTAGTTAGTAGTGCCGTGTGCAAGTCTAGTGTGTGGCATTAGGCTAATCTAGAATTAGGATTAAGGATATCGGTTGTGAAAAGGGATACTGGGATATGTGTCTTAAATGATTTCTCGTCATCGACCATTTGCCGGATGTTCGATAGTCACAGAACCACACTTGTCATTTATTAAGGACAACCGCTGTTTCGGTTGTAATCCTTAACGACTGTGTCCCGAGTGGATTACTGGTTTTAAAAAAGGGCGAACGTTAATCGGTTCGCAGCTATCGAAACTTCCTATGGCAGATACAGTTGGTCTATCGATGTTACTTGTTAATGACCCTTATGGTGATGACGAAAATTCTAATCGAAGGAAAGAACAGTGGAGTCTGGACGTAACAGTAATATGTTTCCAAAAGCAATTTTTTATGATAATCCATAAAATATTCTAATAAATGTAGTATTAATTCTGAAGGATAAATTTATTCGTAAGGATAAAGCATGTATGTGTGTGCCCCGAACAAACTACAAATATTATTCACATTAATATAATAATACAGTCGCTTGGTAAGTTAATCATGGATTGAGTTAATCGCAGTGATTCTTTTTAATTCGAAATCACTCCGAGTCAACTGAAATCGATTAAAAAATGACGGTATGAAATTTATCAATAAAGTTCAGGCGCTGGTTTATTCTTGCGTTCACATCAAGCATAAACACATCATCGATCACATAATTATTATAATATTTCGATAAATTGTTTTCAGCAGCTTAATTGCTTATCGTCTCATCCGATAATGATGTGTTGATTGTATTTAAACTCGATTATACAATCTTTTGATTTCATATTTAAAATAAATATAAAATTTCACTAATAAAATAGCCGTCAAATAATAAATTAATAAATTTTTTATTTGAAATATAAAAATAGATTATATTAATTATTATATCATAAAAATGACTGTTAAACTAAAAGACTGTACTACATAAATATTATAAAAAATTATATTTTTATATTATTATAGTAACAATTAAAGAATTACAGTTTTGTAATGTTTTTGGAATATTACTGACATCTTGCAGGCATCTTGTTAATTTACATTTCTGTAATATCTCTGCAATGTTACATTGCAATCTGCAATATTGCAACATTGCAGCAATATTGCTTCAATATTGCTTCAATCTTCTGTGCTGTATAGGAAATTAGAACTCCATCAATTAAGGAAAAAACCGCTATATAAACCGCGGTTCCGCGGTCCTGAGCGTCTTTTCGTGTCTCTTCGTCTTTTCGATTCTTTGCCTTTTTCTTTTTTCCGAAGTCAGACGGACACTAGGCCTTTTTATTTTTTTCCGGCGTCGAAGGAACATGTACTAATTAAATAATTTTTCGGGAGTTAACACACAGGCAGACAGACAGACGGACACAGACAGAATCTTTTCTCGGAGTTGATCAGCTAAACAAAACATTTCTTTTCTAAATTAATCCGTAAAACTCAGAGTTTAGAGTCAGTGCTGAAGAACACCATCAACCGTGCACATCCTGGGCGGAGAACTTTCACCTATGAGCATCTCAGTAGTAAGTCGGTATATTTCTATTCTCCAATCCCTTTCCGTTTTTCTTTCAGTAATTCATTTCAATATTTCATTTAATTTCCTTTCAGTTATTCATTTACTGTTATTTGATCTTTTTTATTTATTTCTTTCTTTCTTACTCCCTTTTTAGTTCCCACATAAAAGAAAATAAAACAATGCAGTCTGTTCACGCTATAACTTCAATCCCCGTCGCTGTCCCTCTCGCGATAATTGTTCGCTCCTATCGACCGAATATGTCCGCGTTGATAC